TAATACTCAATGGTGAAAAGTTGAAAGCCTTGCCACTAAAATCTGGAACAAGACAAGGATGCTCACTCTCACCACTTCTATTCAATATAGTATTGGATGTCCTACCATCGCAATTAGACAACAAAAGGAAATAAATGGGATCCAAATTGGAAGAGAGAGGGTAAAACTGTCACTATATGCAGATGACATTATACTGTATATATAAAACCCTAAAGGCTCCACACATAAAACTACTAGAGCTGATAAAAGAATTTGGAAGGTAGCAGGATACAGGATTAACATACAGAAATCAGTGGCATTTCTTTACACTAATAATGAAATATCAGAAAAGGAAAGTAAAGAAACAATGGAGTAAAGAGAGTCTCTTCAGCAAATGGTGTTGGGAAAATTGGACAGCTGCATGTAAATAAATGAAGTTAAAATATTCCCTCACACAATACACAAAAATAAAGTCAAAATGGCTTAAAGAGTTAAACATAAGACAAAACACTGTAAACCTCTTAGAAGAAAACACAGACAAAACATTCTCTGACATATGTCATAGCAATGTTCTCTTAGGGCAGTCTATCCAGACAATAGAAATAAAAGCAAAACTAAACAAATGGGAACTAATTAAACTTATAAGCTTTTACACAGCAAAGGAAACCATAAGCAAAATAAATAAATAAATAAATAAATAAATAAATAAATAAATAAATAAATAAATAAAATAAGAAAACCTACAGAATGGGAGAAAATATTTGCAAAAGGTGAGACTGACAAGGGTTTAATTTCCAGAATATAAAAACAACTCATGCAACTTAATAATTTAAAAAACCCAAACAACCCAATCCAAAAATGGGCAGAAGAACTAAACAAGGAATTCTCCAATGAAGACACACAAAAGGCCAATAGGCATATGAGAAAATGCTCAATATCACTAATTATCAGAGAAATGCAAATCAAAGCTGCAATGAGGTATCACCTCACACCAGTCAGAATGGCCATTATTCAAAAGTTCACAAACAATAAGCGCTAGAGAGGATGTGGAGAAAAGGGTACCCTTCTACATTGTTGGTGGGAATGTAGTTTAGTGCAGCCACTATCGATGACAGTATGGATACTCCTCAAAAAACTAAAAATAGACTTATCATATAATCCAGCAATATCACTCCTGGGCACATATCCAGAGGGAACCTTAATTTGAAAAGATACATGCACCCCAATGTTCATAGCAGCACTATTTACAATAGCTAAGACATGGAAACAACCTAAATGTCCATTGACAGAAGACTGGATAAAGAAGATGTGCTATATTTACACAATGGAATACTACTCAGCCATAAAAAGTAATAAAATAGTGCAATTTGCAGCAACGTGGATGGACCTGGAGATTGTCATTCTAAGTGATGTAAGCCAGAAAAAGAAAGAAGAAATACCATATGATATTACTTATATGTTGAACCTAAAAACAACAACAACAAAAAAGACAAATGAACTTATTTGCAAGACAGAAACAGACTCTCAGACATGGAAAACAAACTTATGGTTACCAGGGTGGATGGGGTGGGAAAGCATAAATTAAGAGTTCAAGATTTGCAGATAATAACAAATACATACATATATAAAGTAGATGAGAAACCAGCTCATACTGTATAGCACCAGGAACTATATTCAATATCTTGTAGTAACTTATGGTGAAAAAGAATACAAAAATGAATATATGTATGTTCATGTATGACTGAAGCGTTAGGCTGTACACCAGAAATTAACACACTGTAAACTGACTATACTTCAATAAAAATACATTAAAAAACAAGGATACCAACTACCTTTGCCATAGCAATCAAACTGGCTCCAGGCCCCCCTGATGTGTACAGAAAAAGAAGGCCTTTCCCACTGACGTGTAGTCTGAGTCACAAGTGTATTTGACTGTCATCCCAGGAAGATATGGAGATGCATGTCCTTCAATGTGGTGGCTATTGTGAATCTTGGGTGGATGTGGACAAGCTAAAAACAAGTTCACCCAAAACACAAGAAAAGATATTTAGTTAAACTTAGAAGTATGAACATGCCAATAT